CTCCCCCATTTTTACCAGTTTCCTGCTTCTCACATGGGAAGGCTGATGCCAGAAGTAGCTCTTGAGGGGCCTCCCACAGCTGATGAACAGCTCGGGGCAAGAGGATAGTCAGTGCAGCTCAAAGCCCTAGGGACCCTTCTTGGCCTCTCCCCTCTGTTAGTGGACACTGTGGGCCGGTGATCCCGGAAGCTCCCTCCCCAGCCTACCTGGCCCTATGAGAGGTGAGCTGCAGGGATGGCAATTCTGCCCAGCCTGCGTCTTAGCCCAGAGTGCAACACTTCTGTGGCCGCCTCTTCCAGGAAGCCCTCCCCATTTGCGCTTCTGCACGCGGCTGCCTTTGGCCCTGTAGCCCACAAGCTAAGCTGCTGGCCCTTTAACAAGGATGGCTCTCTCCCTGACTTGCAGGGTCCTTGCCAGCTTACTTCTGCAGAGCAGAGAGAAGGGAGCTGTCTACCCAGCTAGGCCCAGGTGCCACCTGGGCCTCTAGCTGGCATCTGAACACCTGCTATGATGAGCAGTTGGGAGCCAAGGCAGATCTCAGCTGAGGAGGATGGGGTAGAGGGACAGATTAGGAACTGGGTTTACTGAAGTTTCCAGGCAAGATCGTGGGCTGTGACTTGCCCTTGTCCCTGTCCTATGTCTGGGCTGCTGTCCAGGAAGTTAGAGCCTGGTGCCTCCCCACCACTGGGAAGGCAGGGAGGCAGAGAGAGGAGAAAAGTATCTTCACGGCCCGCATGCATGTCCACACTGGTGGCGTGACCCTGCCCACATAGTACCTGAAGCACTGCACTTTCTCATAGATACAGCGGGCCAGGTGTCTGTTCCTCTCACCCACCCAACCTGGCCCTTCTTCCTCTGCCTCCCCCTGAGGTTTAGAATGGTTAGGAAATGTGAGCTGGGCAGAGGGGGGCGCTATTCCAAAGCTTTGGAACCCAGGAAGGGCCAGGTCATTAGTGAACCTCTCAGTGGGTCAGGTGCTGGAACTCCGTCTACACCCTTGGATTCACTGGACTTGAGGCCACCATTGAGCCCTCCCACCTCTCTTCTCTGTGGGACTGGCTGAGGCAGTGAGGGAGTAAGGAGGGGCACACCCCAGGAGCAGGAGCTGGAAGGCCAGGGGGTGGGGCGGAGCCCCTGCACAGGCAGGTCAGAGGCCACACCTGAGCTGCGCCCATGGGGCCGGGATTGCAGGACAACTGGAGGGGCCAGAAGGCAGAGATGGTCCTGGAAATTGTCCCTAGTGGCATATGTTGGGAGTCTCTGGAGGCGCCAAGTGACAGGTAGGTCACCAGTGTTATTTCATAGTAGGTAGCGGGACCGAGAGAGCGGGTGTCCTGGTGTGCTGTGGTGGCTGTGTTGTGGGTAGAGGCTACAAAAAGGTCTAGGAGGTGAGCCCAGGGAACAGAGTTTTGGCAACCTGTGGGGCCTCCATATCCCAGGAAGAGGAAGGGGTTTAAGATTCCCACAGACACTGCTGTGGGGAGTTTCAGGGCCCAGAATCGTCTACCCTTTGACATCCCTGGGGTCTCAGTGTAAAGGTGTAGAGGTGGGAGAGTCAATGGTGCTGGAATGGAGTTGGGGCAGGGCCTGATGGATGGGGCAGAAGCTTGGTCAAGGCCTGCTTTCCATCCCTGAGGCCCAGAGAATAGCCTCTTGCACTGCCGAATTCCACCCCCACCCCGCCCCACCCCCTGCGCATGTCTTCACTGGGGCCACCCCTTTGAGCCTACACTGTAGAGAAGCTCTCAGTCCACTGAGGGCAGACGCCAGGAGGAGGGACCTCCTCATCAGGGCATAGCCCAGGAGTAGAGGCTGGGGCAAGGGTGCCAGGAATCCCCCTTCTCACTGGCACCCCAGCCTGCTTCCAAGCTGACCCGTCTAGGATCAACTGTCCACTTTACTTCTGAGCTGAGCTTGCCCTATACTTGCACACCCCTCACAAGCGCCCCAAAGCCAAGTGTTCTGAGGACTAAGGCCCCTACCTTACGGCTTTGTGACCTACCCCCAGGACATTCCAGTCCCTGAGTCTTCAACCTTCTTCCCAGGCAACACATGTCTGCTGTGAACCTGCACTCCAAGACCCCGTCTTGACACCTCCTGACACCACCTGCTTCCTTACCACTCACTCACTACCTCAGTAGGGACATGGCTACACACCGTGATATCAAGTCTCTCAATAGCCAGCCAGACTCCGGGTCCACTCCATTCCCAGGCTCCATTCCTGACCATCATATGTGAGTGACCCCCCCTCAAAGGCTAAGGCCTTCACAAGGCAGCTTCTCAGGCTCAAACATTGCCTTGATGTTCTCCCGAGAGGTCCCCGTCTGCCAGTCCAGCCGCAGGGACCAGAGTCTCTCCCTGTCCCAGCTTCATTCACCCTAGTGTTCTGGGGCTCAGGAGGTGGCTCTTTGGAGCTTCCTTGTCGGGATGTCCTTGTCCTCCATGTCCAGAACTCATGGGCCCACAACCCTAAGTGGCTCTACTGAATGGCCTTCATACAGCACCCCAACCCTTTCTAGGCTCCCAAGTGCCTCATCCCCTACTCTGACAGCTGGACACACTCCAGCTTTACACACTGCCCCCAAGACCCCCTGGGGCTTGCCTCAGTTGATACCCTATTGTTCTGCTCTCTCCCCCTCCCAGGTATGCCAATCTGGACAATGGTCTATCCTCTTATAATATACATGGATACCAGGCTCCGCTATGGGGTGCACTCCCTCCTGGACCCTCTAGTGGACACAGATTTTTTTAAGTGTGTTGAGTTTTGGGGGGGTGGCTGTCATAGACTGGGGTGTGGAAACCATATAACTTGATTTTCTCATGGATTTGGGAATGGATGTGGGCGGGCTGCTCCAAGGCCTCTCCCACATTCAGGCCATCCTCCCATGCAGTCACACAGTTTTTCCTCTCTGTCCCTCTCTGTGGCTTGAGTCTTGAACTCTTCCTTCCAGTATACTAGCTGGTCTGCATGGGGTCCCCTAATAGGACCCCATTTCAACTTAGTTTCTGCAAATTTTCCCCAATATCGTTAAGTTATACCCTGAGCTTCCAGGGGTTGTGGCTATAGCCTGTGAATCTGGGGATACAACCCAGTGAAGAATAAGTGGGCCCTTGTTTGCTTATAGGAACCTCCCCAACATGAAATTAATTATCTGAATGCCCAAAAGCATCCCCTGAGATTCAGGGTTCATGGGGTACAGAGAGAAATGGACCCCCCAAATACCCTGACCTCCCATCAGCCAAGAGGACTCATAGGAAGGTGCCTAGCTGAACTTGACCCTTTATGGTTCAAGTCAGGTATGCCTGTGTCTACCCAAAGGCTCCTGTGGGGAGCCCCAGGTTCTGAAGAAAGCAGCAGGCTATGGGTACAGAGAGGAACCCAGATTGTAGCCCTCATTTATCCTGTGTCCAAGCTCCTTAGGGCTGTCGTGCTGGTAAGGGAGGCAGAGTGGTACCTAGGCCACTAGTCGCTGGCACAGATGCTGCCAAGCCATCTTGGATTTGGATGTTGCAGGCGAACCTGCCTTCATTCCCACCACTCCCTGCCCTCTGCGGCCCCCTTGGCAGGTAGCTCAGGTGACCAACCTCGTATTCCCTGGCACCAGCCGCTGGCAGAGTTTGCATCAGCCAGTGATGCCCTGCCCCTTACACACAGGGGAGATATGAACACTGCAGAGGTGGGAATTGCCCAGACAGTGGGGATGTAGCCCTCTCAGAATACAGTGGAGTCACCTCGTCCCAGCCTCAGGCACTCCACACATGCAGCGTGGCTCAGGAGTCCAGATGGTGCCCATGCAGATGGGAGTTGGTCTGACCTAGGGAGCAGATCTGGGTTGTAAGCATCAGGTCTGGCCCTCCATGCTAGGTATGACATGATCCTATTCCCATCACAGGAAGCCACAACTCTGCCAGGCTCTTCAGACCCTTATCTTAGATGTTAGGGCAGAGCTGGGGCGAGAAAGAGAATCTCAGCTACACAAACAGGCAGGGAATCTGGAAGCTCCCAGGAACCCCCAAACTTCACACCCAGTTAAACCTGGGCTCCCTGTACTGTGCAGAGCTGTCCACCCATTGCCATACCAGTGGGGACCTTGACTCTGCCAGGAGTACATTCATCCTCCACCTTGTCCACCCAAGGACCAAGATGGGCCACATATTGGAAAGTAAAGAAGGATCCTCATCTCACAGAGGTCCCAACACAGGTTGTACTGGATGCTGCCTGAGGTCTGCAGTGATCTTCACTGCATCTTTATCACCTGGAAAGCAGTTGTTTTAAAAATTGAGAGTGGCCCCTCTGAAGTCCTTGGTTGGAGGGGCTGGCCCGGAACAGAATGCTGTCAGCACCCAACACAAGCCAGTACTCCAGAGCTGCTGACCTCTATCATCCTGACCCTGAGCCCCTTCTCCATGGCAGGATAGTCTAGGGAAACTCAAGGTCAGGTTGTCTAGAGCTGACAGGTAAAGGAGTGCACCTCAGTCACCCAAGAAACACCAGCTCCCAGTCCCGGCCTGCCCAGCGACAGGAAACCAAGAGACAGGCCATCCAAGGTTTCCTGTGCCCAACTGTGATCCTGTATAGGGACTAAATTGTCTTCAGTTTCCTTGGTGCTACCAGAAGGGTTACTGCTGGACACAGAGTCACATAGAGGCCTGAGACAGGCTTAACAATGAATGGGAGAGGGGCAGACCTTTGTCTCTTGGCTAAAGGTAGGGCCCTGTTGTCATTGTGGTTGTTACTGTGGTCAGAGTGCAGAGTGGCCTGCATGTGCAAGCACCTACCGACTCGGCTGCTTTCTCCATTTCCAAGGGGTAGGCCTGGCTTCTACCGCCTTGCATGCTAGGCTGCCTGTCCTGACACTACCTGTCCTGCCTGGGGCTCCAGAGGTCACAGGGAGGGGTGCTTCTGGCATACCCTATTGCTCTGGGATACTGCCTGGCATCCTAATGTGGTCCTGGGGCCTCATCCACCTTCTGTGTTGATGTGTCCACTCTGTCTCCAGGCTTCATGTGGAAGATTTCAGCCTGGACTCTTCCCTGTCTCAGTAAGTGCTTCATAGGGGAGGGACTGTCTCAGGGACAGATGCATCCCGATACCCCTGAGAACCAGGCCCCGTGGGAAAGGCTACTCTTGCCCAGGACCAAGGGCCAGCAACCAAGCAGAAACATGACAGTGTTGGTTAGCCCTTCCCAGGACCAGCAGTTGCTTCTGGTCCTGGGGGTTGGGGCTGAAGATGCATGATTAATGGTCCCCTTGGGAGGAATCTGCAGACAGGAAATGGGCTCCCCAGAGGTGGATACTTGTGTTAGTTCCTTTTCTATTGCTGTGAAGAGACACCATGACCAAGGCAACTTATAGAAAAAGAGTTGATTGGGGCTGACAGTTTCGGAGGGTGAGTCCATGTCCATCATGGTGGTGAGGAAGCAGTAGCTGGGAGCTTACATCTGATCCAGAAGCATGAAGCAGAGAGAGCTAACTGGGAATGGTGTGAGCTTTTGAAACTTCAAAGCCCACCCCCAGTGACAGACCTCCTCCAACAAGGCCACACCTCCTAATTCTTCCCAAACTGTTCCACCAAGTGGGACCAAGCATTCAAGTATCAATGAGCCTATGGGGGCCATTCTCATTCACACCATCACAGTGCCCCAGACCAGTGGTGTCCAGATCTTCAGCAGCAGCCAGATGACAGGACACAGGCCTGCCACGGTGCCTGTATGGTTAGTTAGTGTTCATGTAACCCCAGAGCCTACAACCTTAGCTCCTCTCTGCTTCCCGTGTGGGTTAAAGTCTACAAGGGCCAAGGGCTCTGCTGGGTGCCTCTCTGTCTTCAGCTTGGAGTTAGGTCAGGCGACAAAGGCTTTGAGATTGGGACAGGCAGGGCCCCTCAAGGAAGTCTGTTACTGGCATGCTCCTGGGACCCAGATCCCCTATTGTCAATGTGGTCTCCAAGTGGAGCCTTGTCTGTCATTTCCCATTGATTAATGGTCAGAATTGATAACCACCCTTTGCTCGGTGTTCCCAGCTGCTGGCCATTTGGGGTGCCTCCCTGCTATTGTGGTTCAGCCTGTTCTGACCCCACAGCTGTAGGCTGGGTAGCTGGGGCCACAGCCTATACCTCCATCTCCTAGCTTAGGGCCCTGTGGTGCAGTAGATAACAGTCATGGCACAGAGGTGCCCACCTCATGCACACTCTCCTCCTCCCCAGGCACCTGAGGGGCGGGGCCTCAGACCTGGCCGTGGTGGGGGAGCAGGAACCTGTCTGTGGCTGCCTAAGGGCTGAGGCTGGGTCCATGCTGCCCCAAAGCCAGCACCAATCAGAGTAGATGTCCTAGGCTCTTCAGAGAGCCCTTGAGTCCCAAGAAAGCTCCCTTGCCAGGGGAGTTAGTTTGAGAAGCCGGTGCCCATTTTCCCAGGCCAAATGGATCCCTTTTCTCAGTTTCCCAAGTGGAGTTTAAAGAGCCATACCTGGGCAGCCTGACTTCGCTGCCTGCCCCCAGGCTCTGTGGGGCTGAGGCCTGGAGCACTGTAAAGGGAGCCTTCCTGGGGAGCTCCTCTAGGACAGCAGTGAGGAGCTAGGAGAGCTGTGAGCCCCACCTGGTCCTTCAAAAAAGGTCCAGAGCCACAGGAGGGTGTCACAAATGGAGTTCTACCGACTCCCCTGGGGATTATGAAAGCTTGGGGTTGGGGGGCACCAGATCCCTTCCCACTTGACTGGCCCTTTGCAGGTGCAGGGAGGAGCAGGTTTGAGCTGCCCCTGGCAGCCTGTTCTGGGTCCTTCTTACCCACTCACCCAAGAAGCCAATACTGTGGCTCCACCCTCTAACTCCACCCTAAGGTGGATCGTGTGTTTTGCTCTGGCTCAGACTAGTTGGGCCTGTGCTCTATCCGGTGTCTGTGGGCATGGCTGGTGTGTATGTAGCCAGGCTGTGAGTTTGCACTGTGACACACTGAACATTCTAGACCTGAGATGGCTTTCTGGCTGCATGAACTTTGACCCCCCCCCATGCCAGCACCATGAGCCCCTGGGCCCCATACCATTATCTCTCACTGTATCCTCTTTCTGAGCTCATTCCCAAGGGACACAGTGGGACACGTCTTAACTCCACCGTTGATAAAGCACTTACATCTTCTGGGTACCGTGTGATACTATGGGAGTGTTTACTCCATCACTGTTCCCATTCCCAGTGAGGGAGCTAAGCCAAGGGCAGGTGAGAGGCAGAGTGACTCTCAGGCTTAGACTCTGCCTGCTGGGCCAGCACAGTGTCTATGGTTCCTGGGAGCTTCATATAGACCCAAAGGTGCCTGCGAGCAGGAGCTATAGGAGGTGTACCTTATTCACAAACTCCCTGTGCTCCTATAAGACCGTGCTCTGTGTCCATCTTTCCTTAGGGCAGATCGCGCATGCTGTCTTAAACACAGATTGGAGTAAAATGGATAGTTTCAATCCCTGTTTGGTGTGGCGCTAGAGGAAGTGAGTGGCCACAGTTTATTAAAAATTTAAAAGTAAAGGAAGACGCATTGATTTCTCTGGCATTGGAGAGCTCTGACTTCAAGGGAGCCAAGCAGGCCTCACTGCTCTTCCAGGAGAACACCTTCAGCCATAAGTGGGCGCTGCCTGCAATACACCTGGGTCCATCAAATGGGTGCTGGCAGCCTAATGGGCTGCCCTCTGGGAGGTGGCTGTGTTCTGCTTATGGGGTGTCATTAGTCAGGGCTACACCGGTTCAGGGAGGATGTCATTAGTCAGGGCTACACCGGTTCAGGGAGGATGTCATTAGTCAGATCCGTTTTCCAGGGCTGGGGGAGGATGCCAGCAAGGGGCAGGGCTGAGTGTCCCAGGTTCCCAGTTGTTCACTGAGCAGTACAGTGCCATGGTGGCTTCTTGGTCGTCACAGGTGGCAGAGTTTTCTGATATCAAGATGCTCCTGGGAAGATGATGAGAAGGGTCCTTGAGGGTCCAGGACCCTGGAGAGTGGAGCTGGAAGTGGTCATGGGCATGGGGTGGAGGGCTGGGTGCTCAGGGGACCTGGGGGCGGTGGCCAGACACAGTTGGGAAACAGCAGGGGATGTCCAACAGGAATGTGCCACGAGAATGTCTAGTGAGATGGGGCGGCAGGGACAGGGGGAGGGTCAGGGCTCTGTCCTTCCCCAGGTGGGGTCCCTGGGAGGACTCGGAGCCTGTGGTTAGAGCTCTGGCTGCAAGAAGGGCACACAAGTGCTTCTCCAGTGTGTGCTGGGGCATTCGTCTCTAATGAGAGGGGAGAGGCGGCATTGGTGTCTCTGCAGTGGATAACTCTGCCCAAGGGGAGTGTGACAGTCCGTAGACAGGCTGAGTGACAGAGGAGGAGCTTACGCAGCTCAGGGTCAGATGTCAAGGACCCACATCTGGTGATACTCATTTTGCAGGCAGAGGTCTGAGGTGGTCCCAGGCATCCTACATGGCAGGAGCAGGAGCACACATGACTTAATGTTTCCCTTGCCTACAAAGCCACCAGGACTGACTGTGGGTTCTTCCCTGGTGATCTTACCTAATCCTAACCACCTATCAGTACACACACACACCGCAGCTGTATTTAGTTCCTATCTTCTTCCTGCCTCTTAGGGATTAAACTCTTAACACATGCCACCTTATGAATGCTTCATCATGTCTATACCGACACAAACAGCAAAGGGCAGTGAATAGACATCCCAGCCACTGGGGGCACACCATGGCAGGTGGAATTTAGTGCCTTGATCTGGCAGGTTACAGAAGCCTCCTGTCACCATCCTTGAGGCCCCTACATTTAGGGGCGGCATGGGAGCAGAGCCAAAGATAGGGGCAGGAACCATAGTGGATCAGAAAGGTTGTGGTCTGTGCTCTAAGGGAGATGGAGAGAGACTGCCCAAAGGTCTTGGTCACCTGCCGAAGGCCCTGTTTTGAGGGGGGCGGGATTGAGCATGTGGGAAGACTGGTGTGGGATGGCTACCCACCAACCCCACAGTTCCCCAGAGTTTTCTTGAGTATGAGCAGCAGGAAATATTAGGTAGAAGGATTTAGATTGTGGAGATAAACAGAAATACAGACTATTTAGAAAATACAGGATAGCCTAAAGAGGGTCTGGAACCTATTTCATCAGCCCAGACTGTCTCTGCCCCAGGGTATTTATAGAAATGCCAAGGGGTGGAGCAAAAGACCTCCTCCCCCAGCACAGCCAAGTGCAGACCATCTCAGACACCTGGTACTCAGGCCTGTGGTCCAATCATCCTCTCTATTCAGACCTGCTGGGTAAAGCCACTAGGAACCTGAAAATGGGCTCCCACAGATTGGGAAGACCCTTCCCTGAGGTCTTTATTGTAGAGGAGGTGGGTGGCCAGGAGAGTGATTCGTGAGCTTTATACATGCCTTTAAGATACAGATGGTCCCTCACGCCACCTGATAACTTCCCTGCCCCGCCCCCACCCCTGTGCAGGCTGTCCACCTAGCCTCAGGCTCCTTCCAAGAGAAAGGGGCACAAGTGAATCTTCAGTCACTCACCCACAGTGTCCTTTCCTGCCTGGGGGTCCTGGCACCTTATAAAAACCCTGGGCTGCCACGCAGCAGGGTACGGTTTTGCACTGGGCACAGTGCGGTACACCAGGGCACTGTAGGGACACGGTGGGGGTGTTATGGATAAAGTGGGGTGCAGAGGTGTGTTGTAGCATAGTGGGTATGCTGAATGATGTGGGGTATGGAGCTCGCTGGTGTACAGTGTAGTATGTGGGGCATAGCAGACGACGTATACTGGTACAGTGGGGGATGCCGGGTAAAGTGAAACTCAGAAGTATAGTGGGATATGCCAGGGTACACCAGCCATTAGCACTGGGTTGGCCCCTACTCGCCTATGGGAAGCTTGGCTTGCTATGCAGTCCAGGGTGGACCCCAATAGTGCCCTGGTCCAAGTGAGATGACCAGGCCCTTGGGCCCTCAGGGAACTCTGACAAGCAGACCACTGTGACCCACTCCCTCAGCCCATGGACAGGACGCACAGCAAAGCTGCTGTGCACACAGTGGTCTGAACTCACCAGGCTTCGGGGATGGTGATTTGATTTTAAAATATGTTTTTATTACCTGCATTTATTTATGTATTTGGTGTGTGCTTGTTGGAGCATGCGTGTACCACAGCAGGCATGTGAAAGTTGGTGGATAACTTGCAGTGGTCAGTTCCCTCCTCCCACCACGTGGGACCTGGGGATCCAACTCAGGTCTTCGGGCTTGGTGGCAAGTGCTGCCACCCACGAAGCCATCGCACTGGCCTGAGAGTGACTATTTAAAACACTTTGGGACCTGCAGGAATGGTCAGCCCCAGCCAGACACTGACATCCAACTCTCCAACTGTCTGGACAGAGCCAGTACCTGATCAGAGGACAGAGGTGTTCAGAGTCCACCCACCCTGGGCTTGGTGCCGCCTTCCCTGGTAGACAGAAGCAGTGACGGGGAAAGGGTAGAAACAGGGAGTGAAGCTCATGTTTGTCTCCTTTGCCCATAGAGAGGCAGCAGCCTTCTCCATGGCCTGCAAGATCCTTCCAGGCAGCAAGACAAGCCTTCAGGACACACTGTCCCTCTGCCATTCTGAGTTGTGATCCTATACCATGCTGTGGTCCCTGGTGCTGTGTCCCACCTCATTCCTTCCTGGGGGAGTTTCAGCCTGGTTTTTTGGGGGGTGGTGGTGCTGAAGTTGTGCTGGTAGGAGTCACATGTCCAGGGAGCCCTGTGTCCATCACAGTGAGCCATGGGCCACTCTAGGGCACGTGATTGCCCTAGTTCACGGAGGAAAATGCTGCAAGCTGACTACACCTGCTCAGGAGTCCAGGCTCCAAACTCGGACTCCCATGATCCTTCCTATGTCAACAGCGGCCTTTTCATCTCCTGCTCCTGAATGGGATGGGCAGGGCCTAGGATTATGTCCGAGGCTTGGGGGTTCAGCACAGCGGCTTGTCTTCCCTTAGCCAGAATTATTCTCAGTGAACACATGGCTCTTCCTGGTGTGGCAATAGGCCATAAGTGAGTAGTCAGATGCTCACTCGCCGTTTACTCTGGGTGATCTTGGGACCCCTGGGAACATAAGTGTGGCCACGCCTCAGAGACCGGCCTCTGTGTGCAATGCCATGGGAGGGGATGGATGGAGGTCAGGTCCACAGGATGACTTGAGGGGCAGCTCACGGATGACCACTTCCTGCTGGCCCTTCTGACCATCCCCGAGATGATAATGAATATAGGCCTCACAATACAAACCTTGAAGGCCACCAGACATAATGACTGTCAGCTCCTGAACATTTTACTAGGTTTGAGTACCCAATGCCCAAAGCTCCATGGGTGCTATGGCCCTGATCTCCTTGGGGCCTGTGGGGCTCTGGATGCTGAGCAGATGGTACACCAGTGGCCGCAGGTGTAGCAAGGGGAGGCTTTGGAAGGACCAACGGCTACTTCAGACACAGACCTGGATGGGCCAAAGTAGGGACATTTGTCTCCTCCCAAGTTCCTCTCTGCTCCTGTGGTTTGAAAGAACCCAGCTGGGCTTGGGGCTCTGGCTCTGGCTTGAGGCTCCAGCCCCTGCCTTGAGCCTGAACCCCCTGAGCCCAGGCCTCAGCCTCCTCTCCTCCCTCAGGGTCCAGGTGGAATTCTATGTCAACGAGAACACCTGCAAAGAGCGACTCAAGCTGTTCTTCATCAAAAACCAAAGATCCAGTGAGTCGGGGGCCTGGAGAGCTCTGGGTGGAGAGGGATGGGCAGGGTTGGGAGCCTGAGGAGCTGTGCCAGCTATATGGGCAGAGGGCAAAGGTCACCTTGGCTTCCCATTTCTTGACCTGTGGAGACATGCCCCCCCCCATACTGGCCACTGGGTTGAACGGGGCTAGGCTGCCCACAGGAGCCAGCTGGGTCACCTCCCCTGTGCCACTCCAGCCCACAACCTGGGATCCCCACCTCCACGCTTCCCCTTCTCCTCCCCAACTTTAAGCCTGGCCACTCTGGACCTACCCAGGATGCAAGAAGGGGCTTGGAGGTCAGGCTGTGGTGCCAAGTGTCCTAAATCTGTTCCCATGAGGGAAGTGCCCTCAGGGAATCCCCTGTAACCTAAGCCCCTACCCCCCAATGCCCCTGCAACCCAAAGTCCCTGCACCCCAAAGTCCCTGTATCCCAAAGCCCTGCACCCCAAAGCCCCTGTACCCCAATGCCCCTGCACCCCAAAGTCCCTGTATCCCAAAGTCCCTGTACTCCAAGGCCCTGCACCCCAAAGTCCCTGCACCCCAAAGTCCTTGTATCCCAAAGCCCTGCACCCCAAAGCCCCTGTACCCCAAGCCCCTGTACCCCAAACCCCTGTACCCCAAAGCCCCTGCACCCCAATGCCCCTGCAACCCAAAGTCCCTGCACCCCAAAGTCGCTGTATCCCAAAGCCCTGCACCCCAAAGCCCCTGTACCCCAATGCCCCTGCACCCCAAAGTCCCTGTATCCCAAAGCCCCTGTACCCCAAGCCCCTGTACCCCAAACCCCTGTACCCCAAAGCCCCTGCACCCCAATGCCCCTGTACCCCAATGCCCCTGCACCCCAAAGTCCCTGTATCCCAAAGCCCTGCACCCCAAAGCCCCTGTACCCCAAGCACCTGCACCCCAAAACCTCTGCACCCCAATGTCCCTGCACCCCAAGCCCTGCACCCCAAAGCCCCTGTACCCCAAGCACCTGCACCCCAAGCCCCTGCACCAAGCCTCAGTGCCTCATCTATTCAATGGTCAGAGGAGTCCGGGGGCGTGTGTGGTGCAGACGCATCTGTCCTCTGCATCTGGAATGCGAGTGTGAGATGGAGGTCCATGCAGGGCCACTTCAGGAGGGAGCTGTTGAGAGACCCCAGCGGGGTGGGTGGGCCTGCTCCTCGGAGCTTGACAGCCCTGATGTCCCTGCCCTCCCCACAGGCCTGAGGATCCGGCTGTTCAACTTCTCCCTCAAGCTCCTCACCTGCCTGCTGTATATCGTCCGTGTCCTGCTCGACAACCCAGACCAGGGCATCGGATGGTGGGTAACCTGGGGGCTGGGGCCGGGGTCCTGAGGCTGAGCCTTTCCATTAAACCCCACTGGCATTCTGGGCGTCTGTGTGGGAGACCTATGACCAGCACCTCACCAGACTCCCAAGAAGCCCAGTCACCAGAGCCTTGGGAGTCTTTTCTTACCCCAACGTAGAGTCATGCCTAGAATGGGGACTGGGTCAGCGCGAAGAGGGGGCCCCCCAGTGTGGTGCTGTGCGTGCAGCCACAGTGTATGTGTTCCAACCGCCTCGAGGAAGAAGGCCTGCTCTCCAGTGTCCTTGAGGAGGCCAGCAGATGAGGCTGGGAATTCCTCCCCTGACGTCTTCTCAGTAGTCCTCCCACTGCCTGGCTGCTTTGAGACACCAGTGCTGTTTCCCAGCCCAGATCCTCGCAGGGTGCCTAGGGAGGCCTCCGCATGCTTCTGGTTCATTTCTGGGCTGGTCCAGAGGCCCTCGGTGCCAGGATTGTCTTGAATTGTGTCCTGTGGGGTTCGGAAGCTGGGCCCCGGGCCACCAGCAGGCTTGTCACCCCTACCTCCTCCTCTGCTTCTTCCATTCTCTCAGTTCTGAGGTGACGCTCCTCCCCCAGGTCTGAGTTCCTGCATGTCATTTCCTGCTTTCCCACATCCCTCTGAGGACGCTGTGCCTGCCCCTTCTCTTTGTTAGTTACTTCTGCTGGGACCATTTCTTTTGAACTCTGTTGGCCTCTAATTTGCACACCAGTGGGCTGGACAAGTGGACTCAGATGCCACAGGACTCCTTAGCCAGAGCCTGGGGTGTGAATACCACTACTGGGCCATCTGTGAACCCTGCCAACATTGAGTTACCTTTGGGCTACTCGGAGCAGGCTCTTCTTGAACTGCAGGGGTCCTGTAAATCTCCAAACAGGAGGCCAGACCCAGGAGCCTGTGTGCAAAGTTTTACTGAATTCCTTATTTCCATCTGCTGCCCACTTTCAGGAAAACTAGACTTCCCAGAACAGAAACCCTCACATGCTACTGAGAACAAACCTTTCATCAATGCACGGGTCAGAGGAGGGAAGAACCCTTTGTGGATGTTTGAGGAGAAAAAGAGGCTATAACTGACTCAAACACTGTTTTCTGGGTCTGTTTCACCTTCCTCAAGTCCCAGAGGCTTCAGGACTTCTGCTCCCACCTCCCTAGAGGACCCAAGTCTGTTGTCTTCATCACCATCACTAACAGGGATAATGGGCTGGAGGGTGGGTAGATGATGGATATTTGGGTGATGGATGAATGGGTGAATGATGGCTAGTGGTACACTGGATGGGTAGATGGTTGAATGGATAGGTGCATGGGTAGCTGGATAGATAGAAGATGAGATGCTAAGTAGATGTTGGAGAAGAGGATGCATTAGTAGATGGATATATGAATTACGGATCAGGTGATGATGGATGCATGGACCAAAGATGAGATTATACATAGATAGACATATGGATGGATGTTGATGAGAGATGAATGGATAGTTGTTGGATAGAAGGATGGGCACAGGTCACAGATCAGATGATGATGGATAATAGATAGGTGGATGCACGGACCATAGGGAGGTAAAGGATGGATAGGCTAGTGGTTGCTGATGAAAGATGAGTAGATAGATGTTAGATAAGAGGATGAGAGAGAGGGTGGGTGGATGATTCAGAGACTTCTTTAGATACTAAGTGCAACAACCCCCAATAAAGCTCAAGTGAGAAGAGAAGAGGGTAGGAGCTGCCCCTTTCTGGGTTCTATGTGCAGTGAGGTCCCTGTGGTAGCTGACCCTGGTGCTGGTTATGGCCTGGAGCAGAGCTAGCCTGTTGGCTGTGCCATGCTATCTCTCATCAGCTGGTTCCAAGGTGCTTGGATATGCTTATCTTCAAGTGGCTTGGGGATGAGGGTCATTAATGCATCTCCTTGAGGTAGGAATGCTCTTTCTGACTCCTGTTCAGGCCGCTCTGACCTCCAGGGGGCGTAAGTGTCCACACTGGGCCATGGGTGGTTATGCAGGGCCCATCCCTGGAGCTCATCATCAGCACAGGCTGAGTCCTCACTTCCTCCTGAGCAGCATCTCACCGCAGGGCCCAGCTCTCCAGACGGGGATGTGTTCTCTATGCTTCTTGTTTAGAGAGCCTTCCTACATGGTCCCTGCGGGCTGGGGAGGCTCCTCATGCATTAGAGCATCAGCTCCAGTTGGGACATATGGTGGGCCCGGAGTGAGCAAGTGGGTGTCCTTTCCATTTACCCCGAGCCCATGGCAGCTCTGGAAAGGAGCCTTGGCGTTGGCCCTGGAGGTCTGTGGCTGGGCCAGTGCTTTTGTCTCTCCACAGCTGGGGCTGCCCGAAGTATAACTACACTTTCAATGGCTCATCCTCTGAGTTCCACTGGTGAGTCTGCTCCTGCCTCCCACTCGCCAGGCCACACTGGGCTGGGCCAGGGGTGGGACTGGGCCAGGGGCGGGGGGCGGGGGCAGACAGCTGTGATCAGTGGGAGTTTAACTGTCTGGCTCCGTGGAGCCAATGCCCAGCCTTAACCTGAGGCCCATTAAATTCCCCGGGACGTGTTCAGCCACACCCTTGCACCCTGGCTGAAGTCAGTGCCGAGGCTCTCCCCCATCAGAGAGGAGTCACTTAATGAAGCATATGTCAGTTCCAACACTCACCCCCCACATCTGGCCACTGGGCCCTCACTTGTCAGAAGAACGTCACCTTAGTAACATTCTTCTGGAGCCTGAAGAGGAAGTGCCCTGGCAGATGTGACCCTGTTCCGGCCTCACCGCCCTTCTCTTCCTAGGGCACCCATCCTGTGGGTGGAGAGGAAGATGGCTCTGTGGGTGATCCAGGTGAGTCTGAGCCTACCTCTCCTCCCTGTACAGCGGAGGCTGCTTGTGTGGACTCGGTAAGGAGAGGGTTAAGTATGAGAGCAGAAGTCCCATGTTCAGCAAGCAAGGGACTCAGGCTCACTAAGTAAGCAGGGGACTTAGGCTCCGGAGGGAGAGACCCAGGTCTAGCAATTCTTACTATAGTTTTCCCAGAGACCACTGAGGGCATGCTTTCCCCCGTGATCCCTTTCTCCGTGAGAACCTCTCCTTCCTGCTGACCCACCCTATCCTTACTGTCTTCCTAGGAAGTAGAAGTAGGGGTCAGTAACTCCGGCCAGCTTCTGAGGGGGTCTCCCCCAACCATGTCCCAGAGGCCTGGGTCCCTAGCCTGGAGGATCCCATAGGATCCTATGGGACTCACAGATGCCCATCCCCACCCAGGGCCCAAGGAGTACTGCCAACTGAGCCTCGTCCCCTCACTGCCACCTCTGCCTCCTAGGGTGGCTGTAGTGGTGCTCTTGGGGTTCCCCCACCCCTCCTGCTTCACCTGCCCTGATTGCCCACAGGGTGCCCCAGCAGGGCGGAGTCTGGACTGCCCTCTATCTGCCCTAAGGCCTAGAGTAGCTGCCTGCAAGTGTTTCCAATCAAGACCGTCTTACCTCAGCAGCAAGGGTGCAGGCAACCCTGTAGGAACGCACGCACGCACGCACGCACGCACGCACGCACGCACGCGCGCGCGCGCGCTCCCGAATACCCAGCTTTGTTAGGACGCTGCCTGCTGAGTCTCTCATAGGTCAGGCCCTATTCCTAGATCTGCTGCAAGCCCCTCTGTTCTCTTCACATAGGTCATTGTGGCCACAATAAGCTTCTTAGAGACATGGCTCCTCATTTACCTCAGCTACAAAGTGAGTTCCTCCCTGGCCTACCCCGCCCTGGTCCCCCACCGTGCCCTTTGTCCACAGCCCCTCCCCTAGCACCACGACCCCTGACTCGAAGACACTTGCAACCTTTACCTCTCCCTGTCTCCCAATCTCCCAGTCCCCTCCCCTGCCCTCGATCGCCCTGTGGCCCTGGTCCCGCCCCTTCCTGGCTCTGAAGTACCCTCTGGCCCCCAGGGCAACATCTGGGAGCAGATCTTCCACGTTTCTTTCGTCCTGGAGATGATCAACACGCTGCCCTTCATCATCACGGTGGGTGAGCCCTCGCCCCACGCTTGGCTCCCCAGGCCCCACCTGACCTCTCCCCCACACACCACAGGTCTTCTGGCCGCCCCTTCGGAACCTGTTCATCCCCGTGTTCCTCAACTGCTGGCTGGCCAAGCACGCGCTGGAGAACATGATCGTAAGTGAGACCCAGCTCCAGAGCAGTTTCCCGCCTGCTGGTGGGGCCAGGCCGCGGCGGAATAGCCTGCAGGCCACAGGGGTGCATTCCGGTCCAACCTTGAGCTTCCTCTTTCTGTGAAGACACCTTTTCCCGGGGCTGAGGAGGTGGGACAGGGTGTGCAGATGTGAGCGAGCACAACCAGAACTGGGCCACAAAACCAGGGCCAGAAGAATGGAGGCTCCAACCACCCCCATGGGCAGCCTCTGCTGGGATGTACCCATCTCCTCCTGTAACTGAAAGCCAGGATGGCAGCTGTCTCCCTGGCAGCCTGCCTCCTCCTGGCCGGTCCCCGTGACTCAGCCCTGTGCCAGTTGAAGCTAAAGGTGCTCACACCTCTCTGCCCTCTGGCACATTTTGCCATCACCCGAGGCATGGCTCATCATCCTGAGACCAAGCTGAGGTCTGGGTGACCAGCACAGGGCAGCGATGCCCGTAGCCCTCCCCTGGGTTGGAAGTGGGACCGACCGGATGTTGCTTGTTATGTACGGGAGCGTCTGTGAGCCCTGCCCTTCTGATGGCCGCATTCTCTGCAGAATGACTTCCACCGGGCCATCCTGCGCACACAGTCCGCCATGTTCAACCAGGTGCTCATCCTCTTCTGTACCCTGCTATGCCTCGTCTTCACGGGGTGAGTGCCCTAGACATCTCACGGTCCGTCCCATCAGGTGGCCGTGGCTAGCCCACCCCTCGGGCAGACCTCGGGCCTAGAAGATATGACAAGAGGCATTGAGAGAAGGAGCACAAAGCTGTAGAACTTAGCTCCAAACTCTCGTGTCCAGAGAGCAGGGATACAACAGCACATCTGGCCTGCAGGTGCCCGCCCAACTGACTGTTTGCAACTCTGAGGGGAACCGGCCCCTGGGCGGAGTGGGGACCTTTGGTTTGACTTCCATCTGAGAACAGAGTCTAGAAGCAGCCAGGGTCTCTGGGAGGGTCACCTAGAGTGGGAAGCTCTGGTCACATGGGCAGACCCGCCAACTTCCTGCATCTGCCATAGAGCGGCCCTGCTCCATGTCCTCAAGAGGCCCAGTCACCACCTGCTGTACCCCAGGCAAGGATGAGCTGCCTGGGCGTGACTGCAGGGCCTGGAGTGCAGGTTGGCAGGGCTTGGGGCAGCCCCACACCGTCACTGCCACGGCCACGCTCCTTCGCTGCAGAAGCGCACCCCTCACCATTGCAGCCCCACCTCCTCCCCACTGATTAGAATGAGCAGCTTTCCCGGGCTCGGACTTAAACTCAGTGCCAGGGGGCCAAGGTCCACCTGCGGGCGATGGGCATCCAGGCCTAGCTCTACAACCTCACTCGGTATCCCAGTGATCAGGGATGCATCACTTAGGTCGTCCTATGTGACAGGGTCCCCAGGACTGGTAGAGCCTTACCCCTCAGGGAGGGGGGAAGGCCCGGTCTCCCTGTCCACAGCAGCTACCTCAGGCAGCCCACTCCACGTTGCAGCCTTGTCTCTTACCATTCAGCTCCTCCCATGCACGGCTGCAGCCCTTCCCCGCCATGGCTGCAGCCTCCCCCAAGGCTGCAGCCCTGTTCTTTGGATGTCTAGGACCTGCGGGATCCAGCACCTGGAGCGGGCAGGTGGGAACTTGAACCTGCGGACCTCCTTCTACTTCTGCATCGTCACTTTCTCAACTGTGGGCTTTGGTGATGTGACCCCCAAGATCTGGCCCTCCCAGCTCCTGGTGGTCATCCTGATCTGCGTGACCCTTGTGGTGCTCCCACTGCAGGTGAGTCCCCATGCTCAACACGGGGACAGCCAGGAGGCCACTCCCTGAGGAGTGGCCTAAGGACAGGAGGGACCCAGGGAGGTTGTGAACACGTTGGAAGGTCGTTCCCAGGAGAGCGCTGGGGGAGAGCACCGGGCAGGTGTTCCCTGCTCTGTGGTGGGTCATTGCCCAGGTTCTCCCTTGGCTGGTGAGCTGCGGATTGGCGTTCTGCCCAAGAGCAGCCAGGGGGCACAGGCTTCTCCTTCCAGAGGGTCTTGGGTGCCCAAGTGACCCCCGTAAGAACCCATGCAGAGACACATTGTGGGGGTGAACTTCACCCTCGTTCCCACCCACAGCTAAGCAACTTTTAGGGCTACAAGGGGCAACTGAGGTGTCATTGCTGACCCTAAGCTCTGACCTTGGGCTTGTCCCATCTCTGGCCTTGCAGCACTGAGCCCCAAGCCCAGCAGGCACCCCCTTACTTCTCCCAGAAGGAGCTGCCTGCCCCTCCACTGCCCCTGTCCTGAGTAAACTGCTCTGAAAGCCTACAGTGTGCTGATCCTTTCAGGCATCACTGTCCTTCCGGGCACCACCACCACCTGTTAGCTTCCCTGTGCCCAGACGCCAGTCCTGGAGCATTCTGCTTCTAGCTGCTGGTCTGTGAACTCGTTCCTTGCCTTAGTCAAGGGTCCTGTCCTTCTACAGGCTGTTGGGGTTTTAACAAGGTCTAATATGTTAACATTGACGTCTCTTAACATTTTCCTCTCTTACCTATAAGGTTCATTCCCTCCCCCAATTGTAAGTCTGTTTTCTTGTAAAAGTTTAAGATTCGCTCCTCACGTGGAGGGCCGGGGCCCACCCAGAACAGAGCGTGTATGGCAGCATGGGGATGGGCCCGCCTCAGCCCCATGCACATCCCTCTGTCCCTCCAACAGTGCCTCCATTCCTGACGCTCTGCATAGAATACTCTGGAAGGTGTCTCCAACCCTCCTTCCTCCAGTTCAGAAGCCTCTTGGATCCTTGCTAGTCTGCGTAAGATTTCTAATTCCCAGGCCAGGCCTCTGGTAGTACCCACCTGTGGCCTCAGCCTTAAGCAGGTTCAAGACCAACTCCCCATGTGAGGATTTTTATGAGAATCCTATAGACACACGTGGCAAGAACCAGGTTGTGGCTTATGAGGCCTTCAGCATTTCCTAGCAAGTCTCTGACATTCCTGGAGTGTTGCAAAGCTCGCCCTTCCTTCCTTCCTTCCTTCCTTCCTTCCTTCCTTCCTTCCTTCCTTCCTTCCTTCCTT